GCATTTAAACATTACATTTGTAGAAAATTTTTCGAAAAGCCAATTCTGTTCTGTGTTCCCCACCAGCGAGTCTAACCACTGTGCCCTCTGTCTCTGCTTTCAGTGTGAGGACAGCTGGGTTGGGGTTCCCCACCAGCCCCCAGGGACCCGGTCGGCTCACTCAGGGGGTGGAGTCTGTGTGGCCCTCTGAGTGAGCAGCCCCTGGCCTGGTGGGGCGTCCTGGGTCTCATGAGAGCAGACACCTCCGTGTGCTCCATGGACGCAGACGCTCCGAGCCGGCTGGGCTGCAGGATGCAGACAGTGGGCTGCACACCAAGCCCTTCTGTTTTCCTCGGCTGCAGCGCCCTCCCGCCGGGCGGGGATCACAGGTGGGAAAACACATTTTAGATGCTTTCAGAAAGCCAAGTTTCAAGAAGGTTTACAGCTTTTTAACAATTGTCAAGGCTTCCTCCAAACCTCCACTGTGTGTAAATTGCCTGATCTCTGGGGAGATTGGGAAAAGCCCAAACGATGTCGGGTCCCGCAAGGCGTGGTAGCTTCTGGAACGTACTTCATGCTCTGAGCACGAGAGCACACCAGTGTTTCCTGGGGTCCCCCGAGGGCCCCAGCCTGGGTCAGCGTGGGAGCTGGTGTGCAGGAGCACGCCAAGTCGTGCACGAGTCACCTGGGACACGTGTCCTAGGTGAAGACTTCAGACAGCGGGAGCCAGCTTGGGACCTTGTGGTCCTCGTGCCAGTGGACGGTGCCAGCCCAGACAGCCTGCCCGGCCTGTGTCCTGGGCCCCAGCTGCCTCTCCACAGCCGCTGTCCTGTGCCAGCGGGCAGAAGCTTCGACAGGCTTCAGCGTAGAGCCCAGGGCGTCTGAGTCCCCGCCGTCACAGTGAGTGAAGACAAAGAGCCTGTCCCCGCCTACACACCAGCCCAACAGTGGAACGGTCACTGCACTGCCTTGACGCCCACGGGCGAGACTCACACGGGAGGGGCAGGGACCATGTGCGCCCTGCAAGCCAGCCGGATATGACTGCCCCACTGGGGTAAAGACTTACACTGCACGCAAATGGGGCTCAGGACAAGCTGTATTTGGTGGCGGGCTTTAGAAGCACCGTTTCAACTTTAAATACACTCCTCTCTGTCCTCATGACCTACGTCTCCCGAGAGCTCTTTGCAGCTTTTTCAGATTTTCCTCTTGGCAACGAAGAAGTCGGAAAGCCCGATCATGCCGTTCTTTCTAGACTCTCTGGGTCAGAAACAAAAGACACGTGTTAGCGGTCTTCGTGCCCACATGACCGACGCCCACAAGAAGCCGGAGACCTGCAGGTTCTTCCTGAGGCGTGATCTCGCGGCCTCTCACCGGCCGGCCTGCCCTCCGAATGAAGCACTCCCAGCTGCTGAGCGGGAACCGGCGCTGCGCTCTGGGTGAGAAGACCAGCACTGCGTGGCCAGTTTGCGCGAAGGAAAACTCAATTCCAGTTGACACAAATCTCTGCCGTCTGAGATGTCGGTCCAGGCACTGGCCACACTGTGCCTTGTGGACATTTTCATTCCTTAGATCATGACAACACTCAGAACCGTAACACGACCTGGCCACTCAGCTTCTGTGTCCACAGGGACATGAGGGTACCTCAGCCTCAGGTGTGAAACGTGAATGGATCACAGTCAGTGCAGGGGGGCGGTCCTGGGCCGCGACAGCAGGCCTCCCCGATGGGCCGGGGCTGTGGCTGTGGACAGCTGGCTGGAGGCCGGCCCCACCCCACACGCCTGGGAGAAGCCCTTCATAGACTTGTGCACTGGGATCATCTTTACTGTGGCAGCGTCCCATGGCTTGCTAGCACGTCACCATGCACGGCCTGCCCCACACCCAGGACGGGGCCATTCCTGCCTGCAGTGCCTCCCAGGACCGGCCGGCTGGGTCCTCTCACCCCGCCCTAAGTCGCCCTTGGGCTCATCCAGTGTCCCTAGCCCAACTCACTCGAGAGCCAGGCAGGACACTGTGCCCGTCCCCAACCAGGCCTGTGGCCACTGCTGCCTGGCCCAGGCTGGCCTTGCAGTGAGCAGCCTGCTAAGCCAGGGCAGATGGAAGAGTGGGCCCAGGGTGTTCTCCCGAGTGCTGAGGCTACACCCCGCTGCAGTCTGAGGACTGCCCAGGCAGCCTGCCCTGCATCCCTTGGACCCTGCAAGGGAGGCCTGTGGAGGTGGGTGCCACTGCCCAGGTGCCTCAGGTAGCAGGTGTGCATACACTGCAGGAGTGAAGGTGTGTGTATCCAGGTGTGCATACAATGCAGGGAGGCAGGTGTGTGAGTATCCAGGTGTGCACGCAGTACAGGCGTGAAGGTGTATGTATCCAGGTGTGCATACACTACAGACGGGCAGGTCTGCAAGTATCCAGGTATGCACGCAGTACAGGCGTGAAGGTGTATGTATCCAGGTGTGCATACAATGAAGGTATGTGTATCCAGGTGTGCATACAGTACAGGTGTGATGGTGTGAGTACCCACATGTGCACACAGTGCAGGTGTGAAGGTGTATGTATCCGGGTGTGCATACAGTACAGATGGGCAGGTGTGTGAGTACCCAAGTTTGCACACAGTGTAGGTGTGAAGGTATGAGTACCCAGGTGTGTGTACAATGCAGGTGTAAAGTATGTGTATCCAGGTGTGCATATAGTACAGGTGTGAAGGTGTGTGTATCCTGGTGTGCATACAGTACAGGTGAAAAGGTGTGTGCATCCAGGTGTACATATAGTACAGGTGAAAAGGTGTGTGAGTACCCAGGTGTTCACACAGTACAGATGTGAAAGTGTGTGTATCCACATGTGCACACAGTATAGGCAGGCAGGTGTGTAAATACTCAGGTGTACACACAGTGCAGTTGAGAAGGTGTGAGTACTCAGGTGTGCATACAGTGCAGGTGTGAAGGTGTGTGTATCCAGCTGTGCATATAGTACAGGTGGGCAAGTGTGAGTACCCAGGTGTGTATACAGTACAGGTGTGAAGGTGTGTGTATCTAGGTGTGCATACACTACAGGTGGGCAGGTGTGTGAGTACCCAGGTGTGTATACACTGCAGGTGTGAAGATAAGTACCCAGGTGTGCATACAGTGCAGGTGTGAAGTTGTGTGTATCTGGGTGTGCATACACTACAGATGGGCAGGTGTGTGAGTACCCAGGTGTGCAGTGTAGGTGTGAAAGTGTGAATACCCAGGTGTGCATACAATGCAGGTATGAAGTATGTGTATCCAGGTGTGCATACAGTACAGGTGGGCAGGTGTGAATTCCCAGGTGTGTATACACTATAGGTGTGAAGGTGAGTACCCAGGTGTGCATACAGTGCAGGTGTGAAGTGTGTATCTGGGAGTGCATACAGTACAGGTAGGCAGGTGTGAGTATCTAGGTGTGTATACACTACAGGTGTGAAGGTGTGTGTATCCAGGTGTGCATACAGTACAGGTGGGCAGGTGTGAGTACCCAGGTGTGCAGATAGTACAGGTGTGAAGGTGTGTGTGTCCAGGTGTGTACGCTGTATAGGTGGGCAGGTGTGAAGGTGTGTGTATTCACGTGTGCACACAGTACAGGTGGCAGATGTGTGAGTACTCAGGTGTGCACACAGTGCAGGTGTGGAGGTGCAGATACCCAGGTGTGTATACACTGCAGGTGTGAATATGTGTGTATCCAGGTTTGCATACAGTACAGGTGGGCAGGTGTGAGTACCCAGGTGTGCACACAGTACAGGCAGGCAAATGTGTAAGTACCCAAGTGTGCACACAGTACAGGTGTGAAGGCGTGAGTACCCAAGTGTACACAGAGAGCAAGTGCTCAGGAATTCGGGCAGGTGTGCAGGGGTGAGGGTTGCAGGCATACTGTGTGCACACAGTGCAGGTGTGCAGGTGTTTGGGTGGGTGAGCCACTCAAGGGGGGGACACAGAGAGGGGGCTGCCTGACGACCCCGGGGGTGCACTCACATGCTCTCCTTCAGGGTGGTGAGGTAGGACTCTGTGTCCACATGGGCCATGTCTGTGTCCAGGCTAGCCAGGTACCGGTACACGTAGCAGAAGGTCGTGAAAGGGATGCGTGCGGGCCCACCCTCAGGGTCGGCTGTCAGGATCTGACAGAGGTGCTTCATTGCCGAGTTCAGAGACTGGAACACATGGGGGGAGAGGTCACAGCCACAGGTCACCAACCACAGAGCAGAGGCCACCAGCAACCCAGTCCTGAGCGCACAAGCCAGTCAGGAGCCAGTGAGTGGATGATTGGCACAAGGCATGAGGCACAAAGGGAAGGTTGAGATGGCCACCCCAAAGGAGAGACACACAGGGCTGTGGGTCCGGGTCGACTTGGTGGCCATGGGGGGGTGCACCACAGCTGAGCGCCAGCCGTGAAGCAGGAACCACACGCCGCCCAGCCATGCCCTCTGGGTCTGGAGAGAAGGCAGGGGATCCCATGCATCACCTGCGGGGTAATGGCTGAGTTCTCGGTGGAAGCTGACGTGGCGGGTGGCAAGGGGTTGCGGACGCTTGCACACCTGTCACCCAGCCCTCCCAGCTGCACCCTCCCGGCCACCCGAGCCCGGTGCACAACCCTGGCCCCTGGTGAGTGGAGAGTTGCTCACTGCATCCTCAGCTGGTGGTAACCGGTAACACCGGCAGAGCTGCAACCCGGGTTCAGTCAGT